GAGCGCCCTCTAGCGGCTACAGTAAAACTATGCCCATGGCTCGTTTTGTCGTACCAAAAAACCCTTGTATACCAATTTTCACTGTTATACATCAAATAGTGTTCGAAATATTTAAAAAAAACTATTTTAGAAAGTAAATTCAAACACCCTGTATTTCGGAAGCCACGCATTTTTTGACCCATGTTTATATAGACTTTATGCATTAATTTTAAAAGTTCTATCGAATCTTAAAGTTATGCAACAATAAACTGAAACACCCATACAGTGTTCAGAACTAATAAAGGAATTTCAATTTGAATTTGAATTCTATGCCCCTATTGGCGATATTTCACACATCATAGATTTAACGGTACATTTTGCTTTAAAGCTCAGAATGATGAATGAGAACTGTTTTCGATCCGCGTACCCCTGCCTATTTAAGCTCACCGCCTGGCGAACCAGTCCGCCTTATATAACTGTTCGTACTGAGAGAAGATTACGCGCTGCAACGATGCTGCGCAGATGCGGAAACGGACAATGTTGCCACATGGGTGGTAACTACCAGTAGGGCGGGGAAATAATAACTATGGACTAATTGTATGGCAATGTTTGAATGACTTCATACGTTTAATTTCTCTGTTGTACATGTCCGTAGCTGAGTTTTTTCTTAGAAGGTGAACTTAATCGTTTATGAACTCATAACGACATTGCGTAAGAAGCCATTTTTCATTATTATATCATTATTGCGTAGCCAATTACACACTATTCATTTCTATTTTCTGGTAATAGTGAACTTACGTCAGTTATCATATCGTCCCCTGGGTACAACAGCTAGATAAGCTGAAGCTAGCGATTTTGTGAAAATGTGAATAAAAAATTAAATTCGCAAACGAAATCCTACTCTTGAGTAATCAACAATATTTATGAGCTATACAGGTATACACAGATTTTGCACTAAACTGTGACTTATGATTCTGCTATAAGATAGATTATATGTTTTTTCAGAATTTGATGATTAACTTGAGATACTGAGATTTACTGAATATCCATCCAACAAAATTCAAGTTATCTATTTCTAGAAGGTAGCAACTAAACACGGATCCCCTTTCAAAACAAACTAGTTTTAATTTTATTTGTTCATTTAAGGAATAGTCAAATTCAAAATATAATATTTCACAACTCAAATGTCAATGTTACCCAAAAAATAGTTACTTACTTAACAAGTGTGAAGCAAGCGAGCCATCCTAGGCGCAAAATAAACTTTCCGCAAGTGATAGGTATAAGATTTTTTCTAAAATCGCAGCGCGACAAAATAATAAACCCCAATTTTAAATACGTACTATGTTTTATTAGAAATTTAATAATTGCATTATCAACAACATCAATAATTGATTCCTAGTAACTATTAACAATATAAGAAGTAAAAGAACAGTTATTTGGATAATGAAAACATAAAGGTATGCGTGCGGAAAAGTGCTACCTTCTGCACGCAGATGCACGCTGGTAGAAAAACATATTTTACAATTTAAAGGTCAATGCCACTGATATCACTAAACGTCACTAGTATCACAGTTGACAACATATTTACCTTGGAAAGTAAGATTTTCATAAAAAGGTCTATACTCACCAAGGACAAATAATGACATTAAAGCGTCGTACTTTGCTTTCTTGATAGGTAATTGTCTTGTGTACAAAGGCTGTAAATTATTATTTATTGACGGTATACGGGTTCTACGATAACAATTTCCCCATGAAAATCGTCCTTGAAGTTAATAATAAAAGATATCGACTCTGAAAGTCTTACCTACCACAACTTCCCGATACAATTTGTACAAGAAATTATCGCATCATCAAAAAATAGCTAAGATAACTGCTTGCTTTTGCTGGAATCGGTTGCTTGACTTGGATGTCTTTTAGTAAGTGAGAACCGCCTTCTGAAGTAAGCTAGTGTGCTTATCATATTTGCGTGGCTTATCTTTTATATACAGGAGGTCACTATTTGTACATGTTTTTTCGAATAAAGACTGTGGGTCTATGAAGCAGCTACTACAGCTGTTTAAACTGAAACCATATTGTAATATGCCATTTTTGCATTTTATATTTGTCCTTTTATCTTTATTAGTAAATAACGTCATCTATTATAGGCCTCAACAATAATTATGATGCGAAATTACATTGAAATGACTATCTATAAAGTCATGCATTTTTGCAATATTCATTCATTTCTCTCTTTTGTCAACATAGTTAGAAGAAATCTGGTATTTTGAACTCAGACTTCGATTTTTATACTTTACTGCCTTTTACCTAAGTATGGCAGTATATAGTCAACGCCAAACAAAGTGGCGTGCACGTCATCAAGGTGGGTGTGATGAAAAATTTACATTGTTGCCAAACTTTTTGTAAAATAATAAAATTTATTATTTACATATCTAGGTTTATAAGCAATATTAACCTCAAATGAGAACAAAAATAATAGTATAATAAAATTATAGATCTGTACTTGCATAATCATTAAGTATGACAATTATTGATCAGATGACACTATGAAACTACCATATTTAATTGATAGCTTAAAGGTACTGAATAAAAATCCAAATGGGGTCCTCCAAATTTTATGCATGGTATTTATTTTACAGAATTCATACAGAAAAATGCATTCTAAAATTAGGTAAGCTACTGGTGTAAGCTTTTTCTGTACAATAAAGTTAGTCGGAGTTTCTTTCTTCAGCGCTGTCTGAATCTGAATCTTCGTCATTCTCAAAGTTGATTATTAAAGGTTCGATGTCTGGTCGATCAAAAATTCGTTCTCTTTCATACCATTATAAATTTCTTGCTCAGTATGTCGAACACTATTTTTCCACATGTCTGGGGTAACCGTTTGTAGAGCCTCGTTCCACATATCCAAACAGTCTTTTTCACTGTTACCATCTCTACCAATATGTCTGTTATAGTAACCTTTTGCTATGCCCCAAATTAACTCAATGGGGTTAAATATACAATGGTAAGGAGGCAGACGAAGAACTTTGTGCCCATGTTGTTCCGCCAATTCATCAATCACGTATATTTTAGGTGGTTTGTTTCTAAAAAAGCAGTTATTTTAAGAATAGGAATAAACAAAAGAAATATAAACTGTCGACCAAAATATATATAATTAAGAAGCATTATGTACCGAGCAACAATACTCAATAGCTCTGTTTTAAACATTGTGATTAAAAATGGTATGTTTTGATTTGTCAACCAGTCTTGGATATATTTTTTTTGTCCATGCATTGTTGGGCACTTTGTTCAATATCATGCTGTGATAAGGGGCGTTATCCAGTATAATTATAGATGGACTCTCCAATTTTTCTAAAAACTGATGTTGAAACCATTTCAAAAAATTGTCCTGGTTCATCTCTCCATGGTAATCGCCCAATTTTGTTTTCGAAGAAAATATCGCTTCACTACCCTCAATAAACCCATTTTCATTTCCAGCATGTAATATAATGTATCTAAAATATATTAGTTTTAAGTTTTATAGTGCAAATTGTGTAAAAGTACATACCTTTTACCATATGTTTTAATAGCTTTCACGCTTTTTTGGTTTCCATTTTGCCAAGAGCGACCTATGGTCCCATTTTGAAATATCCAAGTTTCATCGAGGAAGACAAACTGGTATAACGCCTCAACCTTGGCTTGATTGTATTGCCTTAGAAATTCCACCCTTTTCAAAGCTATACTTGGTAGTTCCATGAGCCCTCGTCGCGGATTGTCCTTAAGCCACTTAAATCCAAGATCTCTAAGCAACCGCCTTAAAGACGTGGCACTACCATCAAATAATGCCCTATCTCTTAATCGAGACCATAAAGTTTGTATCGTAACTTGTTCTTCTGAAACCATGTGTAATATGACATTATAATTTAGTTAACAAATCAATGCAAATTTCTGATAAGTTATTATAATAAGATCTTACTTTTGTGATACATATTATAGATCACTTCTCGAATGGCACTTGTATCCAATGTCGCTGTGTTGGTTACACGCTTAATATAACTCCGCTTTTTCTTGGGCGATTCTAAATTTGCATCACTTTTCACACCCTCGGAAATACGACTAACTGTCCTTAAACTAATTTTTAAAGCAGCAGCAACACGCTACAAAAAATGAAATAAAATTTCACTATTATTAATATACATTACATATAATTATTAGTAACCTACCTCTTGAACAGCATTTAAAGGCAACAAAGGCCCGTTGTTGTCCCTTTCTTGCTCAAAGTAGTGCATTAACGAGGCCACGAGTTCCTTACACCGACTATTTAACTGTTTGGGCATCTTTATATACCAAAATTGCCTTTATCTACTCGTAAAATGAATAATTTTGTTTTGAAACAAACAGTTGTTGATTTACAGTATGCGGGGCCAAAGGATTTATAAAGATTTGAAATGCCACAAATTGATTCAGTGTCAAAATTAATACAAATGTCAGTTCCCAGTTTAAATAAGTTTCAAGGTGACAATGTGTCAACGCTGCGAAATCGGTTTAGTGCGTTTACATGTCGATAAGTGATTGGAGCGTTTGCAAAACATTTTATTTCGCATAATGCGTCTAAATTTATCAGAAAGCAACTTATGTGATATTTTAATAACAATATTTATATGACTATTAACCATAATAAGAGAGTAATGACCATTTTACAATTTATATATCACATTAATATGAAACTGCAATAGAGCAATTGTTTGTGATAGAAACCTAGGCATTAGGTCGGGGAATCTTTATCGTGATGACGTGTACGCCACTTTGTTTGGCGTTGACTATAGGTATATATTAAGAAAATGGAGACATTGCAGGATCATTCCGAATGTTGTTTTGGTAACGTTTTTACTGCTTAACTTGAAGGACTTGTACCTCTGAAACCACTCGCAGAAAACTTGAACACTTTTGTTCCACAAGTTAAGGTCGACAACATACTGAATTTTTACCTATAATGTTTCTGTGGACTCTTTTACTGTGAGAATTTTCCCATATTCTTCTTCCAGATACTGGCAATATTACTACGAGATTTCAGCCGGAGCGTTGCGTCGTTTCTCGTATTCGCCAATGGAACAGACTAGATGGGCAACCATTGCCATTCCTCATGAAGACTACGACAGATCTACGTTGACCAACGACATTGCATTAATCAAAATGTCATCTCCAGTGCGTTTCAACAGGTTAGCTTGAATATGAGCTGCTTTACAGTGACCCTATTGAGTGACTCTGAATAACTCGGCTCAGCACCAATACCGTTCCACTGCACGTCTTATTCTCATGCTTTGTTTCTGGAGCAGTTTGGGAGCAAATCAATCTCCAACCAAAAACCACTGGAAGGCAGCTCTGAAGTTTATCTACAGATTAGTTTATTAGTCATATTATATACAGTGGATCAAAAAGATACTGGCACATCCAGTGGCGTAGCTACCTTGGGTGGGACCCGGTGCGGAAGTTGGTGGTGTCACCCCATCGAAAGTCAAAATCATACTCATAAATAACTTCATCAAAGTTTATATTCTGTATTGCTTCATGTTCGATGGCTAATATACCAAGGTTGATAAGCCACGATTAGGTCATTGTTGCCCGCAAATAGTTTTTTATTAATTTTAGTTTACTGAAACTTCTTTCACATGCAGCTGCGGACGCGCAAACCGTCAAGAATAAGTTTAGTACAATCATAAGATTTGGAACAGATTTTGCAAAATCCCTTTCTAAATACAATGTGTGCCTATAGCTGCGAAAATAGCCGAAAAGGTCGTCCAAGAGCTTATGACATTTGCGTTCAAGAACAACCTGCTGCCTAGCAACCAACATGGTTTTATTCCTGGTAGATCAATTATCACCAACATGTTACACTGCATCGACAATTGGACCAGGTCTTTAGACGGAAATGAACCGGTCGACGTGGTTTATCTGGATTTTTCCAGAGCTTTCGATCGAGTTCCGCATAAAAAGCTTCTGCACAAGCTTGAACATCTCGGAATCAGGGAAAATTTGTTGTTATGGATTGAAGCTTTTTTGTTAGATAGATCTTCCTCCGTCCGTGTTGCAGACGCCTATTCTTCTAGCCATCATGTTACTAGTGGAGTTCCACAAGGATCTGTGCTAAGGCCAATACTTTTTCTTCTTTATGCAAGCGACCTTCCCACCCGACTTTCTTCTATGTGTTCCATCTATGCAGATGATACTAAAGTCTATAACAGTGCTATGAACTCATCTGTACTTCAAGAAGGCCTCAAGCTGATCAGAACTTTGGCTCCTGCCTTTAAATCTCTCGAAATGCTACGTTCTCCCCCTGGGAAAGAATAATCCTAACTTAACATATAAGATTGGCAAACATACCTTAGAGACTGTTTTTCTTCACACAGATCTTGGTCTGACAGTTAATGACCGGCTGACCTGGTCGGAGCACATTCAGAACATAACATCTAAGGCAAAGCGGTTGCTATATATGATGGAAAGGTCATTTAGCAGTTGCACCGTTAGTACCTCCTTCTTCTTGTACACAACTTTCGTACGACCCCTACTGGAGTTTGCTGCTCCGGTATGGGATTCAAACCTTGTTCGCGATAGCAGCTTATTGGAGGCGGTTCAGCGTCGTGCTACTCGTATGCCTTATGGCACACGAAGGCCGAGTTATCAAGACCGCCTCGAGTTATATAACCTGCCTGCTTTTGCTGATAGAGTAATTTATTTCATGTGGACATGTCGCATCTGTTTCGTCGGGCAATGAACAATCTCAGAGGCCATAACTTCAAATTACAGAAGGACGCTTTTAGAACCTCTACCCGTCAGCGCTTTATCTCAATATTTAATTTTATCTCATTATGTAGAGAACTCGGCATCCGTCAACAGTTTCAAAAACAATTATGATAGACACCGCAGTGCTTAACATATTGTTCCCATTCTGTATATGTCTACTTCAGAAGTGCTAAGATTGTCAAATTGTTATATTTCTTTTGTCTGTACACTATTATCTATTACGCGTTTGAGTTTATAGTACTTGTACTCAACTAAAATTTGTTGTTTAATAATAATAAAAAAAAATAAACGTCGAGAAATCTAAAGATATCCAATCAGAAACTGTAACATTAGCGGCTTTTAAGTGTATTCGCAGTTTTGGTATCCCCATGTGTATGTATATGTTTCTGAGACCCCATCATAAAAATCTGTAAATTTGGATGTAGCTAATTTCAGTTCTTCATTTTTCTACAAAAGCGAAGTATTTGCTTGTACGGTCTCAAACAATGAAGCTAGGTCTTGAAGAGACTTCGATCTTGTCTGGAGTTCAAGTTGAGTCACCAGGTGGTGGTCACCCCGCAGCCCCCCCTGCTACTTCACTGGGCACATCGCAGTTTTTTCTTGAATTTAAATAATGGAAAGATGATTTTTTGTTACATTTATCTGAAAACTAATACCAAAGTAGCAAGTTTTGATGGTAATAGAATGAGCAAATAAAAAATAATAAAGTAAGATTTTTCGAAATATTCACTTATTTCTAAGGTGCAGCCAAAAACTGGTTATTGTGACATAAAGTTTTACTTATCAAAGTTGGCACCCAACATTTGAAAGTTATCAATTCATTATTAATCGTCTCATTTGTTGCGCAATAGAAAAAAGTAGAAGGCCGCAAGAATAATCTCGGTACAAGTTACATTGAATAACTGTGTGTTTTCATGCCTTCCAGATGCTCGTTTATTTTCCAACACTCCAACTTTCAAAAGACTATTGAATTATAGATAATTTTAATATGAAAATATTCATCCTTGTAGGTATGTAAGACCAATATGTCTCCCATCAGATGCCACTGCTGGAGAGAGTTTCATCAACGCACCTCCTCCTGGAGAGATCTGCACTACTGTAGGATGGGGAGCAACCGTAGAGCATGGCATTGACCGTAAGTCAAAATGAATACACATGATGCCTCTATAAAAACTATAAGAGATGGCCGTACGGCCTTGCAAAGCAAACATTAACCAGATTTCCAACGGCTCTTGAATAAACTGTAAGGATACGTATGGGATTGAAGGTTGAATCTATATTTAAAGTATGGGTCTACATAGACCCCCTTCTTAATTTTGCAAATTTACTATTTTTTAGTAGGAAGTATTGGTGCATGCCGCTGGTTTTAAAAATGGTGAAAGCGCGAGCTGTTTGGGTACAGGCATCCTGATCCTGGGCTCAAAAATATAATTTTTGTTTGGTCAAAAATCACATCCTCATCGTAATTCTCTTCAAAGTTTTTCGTAATTTCTATCTTGGAACATAACCTTTTTTCAGAAAGCGCAACACCGTCGGGCACAGCTAATAGGTATACTTCATTGGCAGCATATTGAGTAATGATAATCATCCAGACGCGATCTTGCTATTCAATCAACTTTCTTCTCAGATATGAGAAATGAATTATTTTGAACATATTTCTTTTAAATGAAAATTGCGTATCAAACCAAAGACCGAAGCATTTACGATTGGTATAGGAATGTTATCGATATCTAATTGACATGGGCTTTCAACTCCAATTTGTTTGGGTTTTAGTCCGAGGAATGTGACTTTGGATTTAATTGCGTTTTATCTTAAGTTAGTGTGGATGATGTATTATGTTCAGGCTAATCGAATCAGAATAAGGAAGCCTATCCTTGATATTGAGGATGAAAAATACTAAGTGACATATAAATCCGAACACCCAGTTTAAATGGTTTTATTTTAATAAAATTTTGTACAAGTACTTAATGAAGCATAATAAGTGAATGATAAAAATTTCAAAATGATTGCACTGCTTTAAAGCCCTTTCACCTTTAATAATGTGTGGATGCACCCTGATGTGCTACGCATTCTCCAACGCGCCTAGGCATGCTTCTGATCAGGTGGTCAATGTCCTCCTGTGGTATCCCATTCCAGGCAACCACCAACTCCTCTCGAAGTGCATTATCTTGTTGGAAAGCTGGATCGGCCAGGGTGTCAAGATAGGGTAAAAGATGGGGTTCTAGAGCTTCGTGGATATAACGCTGCGCGTTCATGTTACCTCTAATGAAGATTAAAGGTGACCTGGAACCATAAGCTATAGCACACCAAACCATAACTCCAACAGTGTGATGAACATGTCTTTCAACAAAAAACTGTGGATTCCTCCTTTCACCACGTCGCCTTCTAACCCTGGCACGACCATCGTGCATGCCTAAACAATATCGAGACTCGTCACTAAAGACAATACTGTTCCATTCCTGATCCCAGAGTGACCGTTGTCAGCACCACTCAAGGCGATTACGTCGGTGTTCTCGAGTTAAAAGGAGGACCCAGTGTGGCCGGTATGAAAACAAGCCAAAACTTCTCATTCGTCGGTAAACACTTCGCATGCCAATAGGTCTTCCGTGTTCTGCAAACCATTCATTTGCAATGGACCTGGTAGTGGAGAAACGGTCCCTTAAGGCCAATAATCTTAGGCGCCGATCTTCACGGTCTGTTGTTCTACGGCGGCGTCCAGTGCCCCTTGCTCTTTGCGTACGGTCTTCTCGAAGCCATGCCTGACAACACCTAACCACAGTGTCTACACTTCTTTGCACTCTAACTGCAATTGCCCGAAAAGAAAGTCCAGCTTCCCGAAGTCCCACTATACGGCCCCTATCAAACTCACTAAGTTGACGAAATCGTACAGGTCTCCGTACTCTAGGCATCGTAACCGATCGTAAAGGATGTCAAGAACCAAAATCCGCCAACGTTGATTCTTTACTGCAGCTGAAATATTCATTTTTAGAGCGTTAAAGAATTAAAAAAAAGCAGTATAAAAACCGAAATGTCCAACTGATAAGGCTGAAAATTTTTTCACTTGTTATTTACGGTAAGATAAATACATTCACCAACTTTTATTAAAACAAAACCATTTAAACTGGGTGTTCGGATTTATATGTCACTTAGTATATGTTTGCGTGTCTGTATAATGGTGAATTTTGCAGTATCTCATATACGAGCCACTTTCCACTTCAGTTGGCCCACTTCAAGATTTGTACCAAAATATGCCCTTATAAACTAAACCTGACGAAACTATTTACTTCTAAAACAATTTATTTTCTCAAAAACATTTTAGATACACTCTAGTCGTAAAAAATACATATTTGAAATCACTTAGACCTACCTGTATAACTAATAGAACATCTGAACAAATAAACAATGTGTCAATAAATGCGCGAAGTTAACAAAACAACAATTGAAAGATTACCATTGGGTAACATCACCTTTATTTTTTATTACGGCTGAAATTCTTTGGGGCATAGTGCTAACCAAGTTTTGGCAAAGATTTGGTGTAAAACAATCCCATATATCTTGAAGCTTTTGTCTCAGTTCGGTGATTATACGAGCAGGATGTCGTCGTAGAACCTTTTTCATCTCGTACCACAAAGTTTCAATAGGTGACAGATCTGGACTGCTAGAAACCCATTTCAAAAGTGGTACATTATTCTATCTTGCTGAGACACAAAATCTTGGCCGGATGTCAAACATTCTTCCATCACTGGTAAAAGCGATTCTTCTAAAATTGCCAAATGTTTGTTTGTATCCACATTTCCATCAATAAAATGAAGTTTTCCTACTTTTGATGACATACTGCCCCAGACCATAATGGATGCTGGAAATTTCACTTTTCTCTTCAGACAGTCAACATGAAATGCTTCATTTTTTTTGCGAATAACTCTACTGCGACTGTCACCAACACAAACTTCGAATCGGGCCTCATCACTCCATTGTATTGCACACCATTGTTGAGGTGTCCATTGTCTATGTTCTTTAGCCCATCTAAGCCGATTTTTCTTTTGCAGTGGAGTTAATAGTGGCTTTTCTTTGGCCTATAAACAAGTTGTGCAACTTTAGGGTTTTTACTTCACTTTTTTTTATAAGAAAACTTACCTTGCAAGTGCTAGATCCCAGTTTGTGGGCCTCTCTATGAATTGTGGACCTCGAAATTCTCCTTCCAACAGCGTCACTCCACAGAGCACTTAATTATAAATAATAATTAAATATTTTTCACAGCCGCCTATGCATTATAGACTTATTTTGCATTAAAATGAAAATAGGCTGATATGCTGTAATTGCTGTGTTACATTTATGCTGCAAATTTGATTAGGGAGTGACAAAGTTGGTGTTTTCTACTATATGTTATCAAAGTATTCATTGTTAATATTTTAAACCTAGAACACCCTGCTACATTTTTATTATTTGTGTTTGATAAGAAAAAACTAAGATTTCAATAGTTGGGCCAATTGAAGTGGGAAGTGGCTCGTATATCGAAAAGTCTGTAATAAATTGGGAGAATAAAAGCGGAGACCATTAAAATGGAGAATCTTGTAAAGTTTTTCAGAATAGTTGACACATATTGGTATCATCCATTTAAAAAACTTTTAATACATTGAAGAATAGGGCTAAATCAAAAAAATATTTCAGTTAAGAACACAGTGCTAGCATGGACGATTGACGAAATCCAGATTTGACTTTTGGTATGATGGATTTATTTGCATCATACCCAAAGGTTCGTTTCTTCATATTTTTTTCTGAAATTTTCGAAATTATCGGCTACTTGGTCTCAATATTTGGTTTGTGTTATGTACTTTTGGGATCGACATAATTTTAGAACCTAACTCCATGTTTCTGGAAAACGAAGCTGTGACAAATTCCCATAGAGAACGATACGATATTCCATTTCATCTCGAAAGCTTTTTGGACGCCGAAATACACTACATTGTTGGCTATCTTCAGGTTATATGAATGACTATAGAGTAACCTCTTCTATGCTTAGAGTAGCAGCGTGCCAGAGTGACATCATTGATAACCGCATTGAATACCTCCTGCCCGATCAATATTTTTGAAGCTACTACCGATTATCAACCTGTTCATTTTTGATCTAATTCTTACAGCTGACCACATGCGTGAAGTGGAGGTCCCGGTCCTCGCGACTTGCAAGCACGCCGAAGATCGCATCAACAACGCAGCTATCTGTGCCGGTCTTCTATCTGGAGGAAAAGACGCTTGCCAAGGAGACAGTGGCGGACCTTTCATGTGCAGAAATCCAAAGAATCCTACGCAGTGGTACTTGGCTGGTATTGTCAGCCATGGAGAGGGTTGTGCTAGACCAAATGAGCCTGGAGTGTACACGAGAGTTAGCAAACACCTTGGATGGATTGCTGATAATGCACGTAAGTTATTCAAAGTTTCAAAGTTTATTCAAAGTTTATTCAAATTCAAAAACCAATATAACTTACAAATTAAAAACAACCTTCAGTATAATTTAAATAAAAAAAGCTTCAAAAATACATGAGCTTGTATGCTCTTGCTACCCTGAATAACCAAGATTGCAACAGAAATCTGAGCAAAGATACTAGCATCAGATCTAGAACCAGCAAGTAACGGTATATGAATTGTGAAAATTCTGTATACTTTCGTAAAGGGTAAATGTCTGGATCTTGTCGTCACAAATCCTAAATTACGTGTCTGCATAAACAAATCTAAAATTCATAACAATAGTACAGAAGCATACTAAAAACACTCAGAAGTATAAATATAGAGTACATAAAATATGAATACTTATCTGAAATACGATAATAGAGGGATATTTCGAGTAAGGTCAAACTATGTTGTTTAAACAATAAAAAATTTGCGTAGAGGTTAAGCAGAGAAACAAGAGTACTACAATTTACTACAAAAGAATTTACTACAAAATAATAGACACCTAAGCTATAAGCTTGTGTGTGTCATACAATATACAAATTCAATGCATGGCTAATGGTCATAAGGTATATTATGAGCAAATGTATATTAAAAAAAGAAATAAAAAAAAACATTAGATAGAAACGAAATTACTGAGTTGAGTCAAGCTACCGTCGATGCAAGCATGTCAAAGTTATTTAAGATGAACTTCTTAATTCTTTTTTTGAAACTATACTTCGAGAGGATTTTATATTCTAGGGGTAAATTATTATACAACCTAATACCATCAAACTTTATGCATTTTTGGCAAACAGATTTATTCACTCTGGTATAGGTGTAACTTATATTTATTTTAGTTCTTGTTTCATAAGCGTGGCTGGTTGGAACATTGTTTCGGGAGTGAACAAATTTTAGAGCAGCAAAAATATATAAACCTCTAACATTCAAAAGATCATTTTCAATGTAAACAAATCTGCAACTTGACCTACATGGGATACGAAAAATAGTCCTGACAATATAATTTTGCGTGGTTTGTAGTATTTTTAAAGTATTAGTGTATGCGGCTCCCCAAATACTTATCCCGTAAGTTAGTAGAGACCCCACAAACGAGTTATATATTGACAGAAGACTCTTTCTGCTTAAAATATTCCTAAGAATGAAAAACTTATGAATAATTCTCCTTAATTTCGATGCCAAAAGCTCGGCATGACTCTGCCATTTTAAATTACTGTCAACAATGATTCCTAAGTATCTAATAACTTCAACTCTTTCGACAGTGTCAGCACTGTCATTTATAATTAATGTTCGGTGGTGTAATGGCATGCCTGCTTTGGTTGGAAAAAACGTTACATACTTAGTTTTAGAGATATTAAATTTAAGTAAATTGTTATCCAACCAGCATTTGACTTTATTTAATGACAACTCGGCATTCCGTATTGCGTCATCCCATGAATGACCAGTGCAAACTAAAACAGTATCGTCTGCATATGATATCATCTTAAAGTTGAAATTACATCGAAGTAGTTCATTTATGTATATGAGGAACAAACAGTGTTGGTCCCAAAACCGTCCCCTGAGGCACACCTATTTTGATCTTTTGAATGTTGCTTAAATCTGACCCTACCTTAACTTGTAATCGATCAGCCAAATAGTTCTCAAATAAGTTCAGAACTCCACTACGTACTCCAACACTTTCTAGTTTATTTAATAAAATTGTATGCGATACTGAATCGAAAGCCTTTTGAAGATCTAGGAAAACTGCAACAGTCTTATTTCCATCTTGAAAATTTTCAAGCATTTGTCCTACAATAAACTTAACAGACTCCCTTTCAGTGATTCTATCACTCCACGCGTAAGAAAAGAGATATTTGGAAGTAGCTGCAGTAGCAACAAAATTACCATCAAGAACCACTGAAAAGCATATATGGTTAAAAGGAACTCAAAACGGGCGAAAGGAATTAGTTTTTGACGTAATACTAATAATACTCGCTACTATCTATTCACCATATTCAAACCACAATATATACTAATATAGGGAGTCCCAAACGTGCGAGGAAGGGTATTGCTCCTAAACAAAGAATATTTAAAGAAAATCATTTAGGGATTGCTACAGGTATGTGGTATCTGGAGGCATATTTCTAGAATATTTGTAATTATACAGGGTATCTTAATTATGACCCCTATATCAGAGTTGTTTGTTTTTAATGGAATATCCCACTTTTCATTACATATTCGGATAAATCCTTTTATTAGAAAGAGATTGATGTAACATACAGGGTGGCGCATCGAAAACGAATCAGACGCATTTACTGGCAGCACAGTTTTTTTTTTGAAATAACGCTCAGATCCGTCGATTTTGTTTTCGAGGGGGACACAAGTTTGGCAAAAAATCACGTTAACACGTGGTTAGCAACATAGTTTGGTCAAATCAATCGAAAACTATGTACTAAATTCCTATTTAAAATAAGTATAGATATTCCTTTACCTTTCTTCAAGAAATAACTTTTTTGTCACAAAAAAACGCTCCAATAGCTATTTTCAACCACAAAATGATAAACAAACCATGTGCATAGTGAAGAAAAGCATTTACTTATTAAGTAAATTCTTTTAGTCAAATTTCTTCTGAAAGTAGTACAAAGTAATCTGATGTATCTATTAAAGTCTACTTTAAGCTTTAAATCAATAAATCTTCAAAACTACTGAACTGAAGCTCATGTATTTTACATCATTTTAAAGGGAATTGGAAGACCTTTAAAATAAGATATCACTCGACCCCCCCTTTCCGTTTAAGATTTAAGGGTTGGTGTCACCCCCGCCCAGTGGGCTGCACGTGTTAACGTGATTTTTTGGCAAACTTGTGTGCTCCTCGAAAACAAAATCGACGGATCTGAGCGTTTTTCCAAAAAAAAAACTGAGCTGCCAGTAAATGCGTCTGTTTCGTTTTCGATGCGCCACCCTGTATATTGGAGTATTGATGATCAGTTGTTGATCTATTGGGCATTTTATCTAAAAAAATATCAAAGTTTATATAGTCTGAGTTCCTGCTATCCTAAGGGTTGGATTTGTTAATTTTGTGTAAAAAATATTCTGTACCACTTTCGCAAAACAAATGGAACAAACTGTATATTTTTGCACTGTCAGATCCCCATTTTCACGCGCTTTTTTATATAAGGTTCTTACCAGTTGGTTCAAACAGTTTCTGCGTTATAGCTATTTATTTCAAAACGTTAGATATTTCTCTATTTGTACAAGTCACATCAGTGATGGAAGCAAAAGACAAGTAATGGATTAATGACAATCTGTCTACAGAATCATGATTACATCAAGAAACTAAGTTCCTCAAATATTTGTTTTGTATTTCATTATTACAGATTGACATTATAACATGAAGTTGTTTTTTTATGGTGTCTAAAAATGATGCCATGCCGTTTAAATTTTTTTGTTGTACTTGTTCATAGCTCAGAATACTCTATAATGACATCAAAAAATAGTTTTTCTCTATCAGTTCTTCATATTTGCCATGATCACTGCTGAGCCTCATCTACGTCTGTTGTTCTTGCTTCTGCAAATCTTTTATTTGGCTCTGTCGTATTTGAGCTAGATTTTCTGTATCCAAGTTATCCAACTGTTCTAAAACTGAATCCACTTCTATTCATACAGCTCGTGTGACCTGCATCTACAGCAGTAATTTTTAACCGAGGTTGTTGCTATACCATGCAGCTTCTTTTTGAAATATTTCCAATTACGTGAACCGGCACGGATATTACGTTTCTTGAGAAGTGACTTCTTTCGCTTTTTTCTCTTCTCAGAGATAAACACTTCAGACTACTCGGCTTTTTGCAACCGACGAGCAACCAACAATGCATGTCGTGTCGTTGAGTCATCCCTCTAAAAATGGACACTTTCGATGAAGCTCGCGGCGATCATAGCGAGCAAACGTGGAATAAACTACTTGCACCCTGAAAAGTACCTAGTCTGGAAGATGACATTTTGTCGGTTTTTTTAAGTTTTTAAGGTTTTCTTACATAATACCCCTGCGGGTGTTTGAAAGTAAAGACCAGCCGAATTCCAGGAGCAATAACAACAAAAGAAGGTGTGTTTGATCAATGGTCATGGCAGTTATGAAGAACTGGCAGAGGAAAAATGTTTATTGATGTCATCAAAAGTTTTCAAAATGTTGTGATGGCCGATGAGAGATCCAAAATACTAAATAATACTGTATGAACTGATGATAGCGTTGCGTAAGAAGTATAGAGTCAACCTAGTTGACTCCATTTTTTTCTTTTAGGAGATTTAGGCTTTATTGGCGTGTTTTTCTTATTCGATTTCATTCTATGTTAACGGGCTTTCATCCTGCGAAATATCAATAAGCTCCAGCAGAGCCACGTGTTTATGAGATTTTTATGAAAAATCTATACCTTCGAAAATATTTGACATGCTATATCGTGTAACCTTTCCATCATAGAGACCCTCAAACAATTGCTTGTTAAAATTTAACCAGGTACTTTATCAACACCATGCACTCACTCATACGCACAACTGTTGGTATTAGACTTAACTTAAGAAAGCAACGCAGCTTTTGAAAATATTTGATACCGAATGAGAAATCGTGTTTGTTTTAGGAGACGACATGTTGGTACCGAGAATTCCCCTGCAAAAATGTCCAGGATACGTCTGTGAAGGGACTAAAAGGTGCCTTCCTATAAAGCATTATTGCGATAAAATCGTGGATTGCTTATTTGGCGACGACGAAGTGAACTGTAGAAGCAAGTCTCACCACAAATTTCACAGAAGCAACGACTTCCTCGTATCCACAAGAAAAAATGAGTTCTCGAACGTTACGCAAATAGGTGGAAATAAGACGCAAATGAAATTAGAAGGTCGACCCCGATCAAGTGGTGTATCAGAAGACACCAGAATCCCAGAAAATAATAGTTCTATATCAAAACAATCACAATCAGTAGATACGTTGGAGAGTGAAATGATCACACCAGCAGATCCTGGAAGAGGTAGTAGCACCGTTTTGGATAAGAGCACGCCAACGCCAATACCTGTGGAGGAGGCATTCTTTAAATGTGAAATGTAAGTACCTGTACTACATCGAGTTAGCCTTTATGTGAGAAGATTTCTTTGGAAATGGGGCTAATATTGCACTCAGAGCCAGCTATTCCGGGATTCTTTATATGAACCTTCTTCTTTCTAAAAAACTCGTATCTTTTCTTGACTATCGTTTTTGATTCGTTCAAAGCGGGACAAGTAAAATTGTTAGGCGGCAGTATTGATACACACATGACTTGGGAGGAGCATGGAAACGTTATTCTGCTGGAACTATCCAAGACTATTTATTTAATCAGGAATATCAAAAGCTATGTCTCTGCTAATATATTTCTAGCCACATAGCTATTATGCATATCTCCACTTAAAAATGTCATATACACTCCTGAACTGGGGTCACCCTTTGCATATTATGCCTAAAATATTTGCACTACAGAGGCTCTGCATCAGAGTCGACGCAGGTCTTATAAGCCATCCATCTCTATATACTAGTCGTGACCAAACTTGAATCATCATACTCAGAACCGCATTTTAAGGTGGTCTTCTATGTAACACTTTAGGGCTTCATTCAAAAGATACGGGGTTGAAATTTAAAAATAAGTGGACAATACTTAGGTAAATCCACATACCAAATTTTAGTTGATGGTGTTTCACTGTTGGTCGCGACTTGTGAATCACCCTGTATGTTATGACAATTTTCATCTATACAAAACGCTTAGTGACGTACATAGTTACAATACACGTGACAAGCATAAGTTAAATATTTCTAAACATCGTCTACAAAGAACTAGAAACGGTTCTAGCTACTATGGAAGTCGCTTCTATAATGTTCTTCCTGAGTCACTCAGAATGTCTAGCCCCGGCTCAATTTAAGATAGAATTAAAGCTCACCTTATCAAGACAACTTTTTAGACCATCAAGGAATTTTTAAGTAATAACTTTCCGGATCTCTTATAATGGTGTTGTGGTGAGGTTTTTTTACCCTGTTTGTTAATTTGTTAGGATGTGTTTGTTCTATAGTTTTGTACTTACTTTAAATTTATAATATCATTTTACAGATTGTCTGTTAATGTGTTTTTTACAGTTTTCCGTTAATATTGCTCTTTACAACAAACTTTAGTGTTTTGCGAATTTACAATTTTGTATTTTGAGCCAACCCGTATACTTGTGTATTATGGCATTATACGAATGCTGGCGACGTCGCCGTGGCATCCTGGTGAGTGGGGGTTCTTAAAGTAAAAAATATAGACATAAATATTACTTCCAGCATGCTCCAGCTCATACCTATGAAGAAGAAATGTGACAAAGTGTATGACTGTGAAGATGGAACAGATGAAACAAACTGCCTTTGCGTGGATTACCTCAAAGTTATCAACGATTCGTGCATATGTGATGGCATAACAGATTGTGATGACCTCTCTGATGAAGCAGATTGCAGTAAGTAATCAATATATTCACCAATATTGGTATCGATAAAGCTACGTCAGAAATCTGAACCAGTTATCAACTTTAAAGATGACTTGCGTACTTTCTTCACGTGCCTATAGACACTGGCGCTCCCACGGAGGATAAAGGGGGTGATTACCTCCCCCCCCCCCAGACTCAATTAGTCTCTAAAAAGCTGGTATAAAGTAAACGTCTTATAAAAAAATCTGTAACTTTAAGGAAGGATAGCGGCAACACTGCCAACCCGCTTAGAGCACATGCGACTAGCGACTACTCTCCCACCAACAGCAACGGTGTGCGCTTCTTCCTGTTGGAACAGGTATAGTCTAGTCTTTTATGGTCCAGACTAGTGTCTGAATTCTGTACTAGATCAAAACAAAATTTGGATAAGCGGAGTTTTGTTGATCTGGTTGGTATTAACGCTATTTTCTATGTTCTATTGATTTTTTATTTTCCACGCATAAGCCATAAAATTAATTTTTGTTTGTTTTTAGTTTTTATACATAAAAGAATTGTGTCTAAAAAAAGACAAGGAAAAATGGAAATTTAGTGTTTGCCCATACTCCAGCTATCATTATCATCTATGTCTATGTTGTCTCGGAAGTCCCTGTATGTAAACACTTCAGTGCATTTAGTTCGTCTGAGATGGCAAATTATATATTTAGTTTCTGAAAATTGCGTCAACTTAAGAAATCTTGTTTTCCAAACAGAAAAGGTTCTTTGTCATGAGATACGTGAATGCGCGGAAACCAATAATGCCGTTAATTTGACAATATTTATGTAACTTTTAGTGCTGGTTGACGGCTGCTGTTGTCAGGATGAGTGGAAGGAAACAAAATACCATCGATTGGTTCCTTTCTAAATAAAAAAATATTATATCAAATTGGAAAGACCGCGAAGCTTCTTCAAAAGCGGAGTCTTTGAAGACTGTCATTAGTTCCACCCAATTTATCGTATCACTAAAGTGTTTGTGTGATATATTAGCCTTAACAGTCAACCTGAGTAAGATTTTACAATCAAAAACAATTGATAAACAATACGCTGTCAAACTCATAGGAAATATTATTTCAGTTGGACAAGAAAGACGCGCGAATTCCGAAAAACACTTTAGAATACTATTCGCATCTATAATGAAATCACATGAAACCCTGGGTATTGAACTGACTGTGCCAAGAATAACAAGCAGGCAAATGAACAGACCGAACATAGTTACGTCTGACAAGGGAAATCATTACAGACTGAACCTATATGTCCCTTTGCTAGATAACATATTACAGGATTTGGTATACCGGTTCAATGAAGAATATTTGAATATACAGGGTGTTTCAGTTTATTGTTGCATAACTTTAAGATTCGATAGAACTTTTAAAATTAATGCATAAGGTCTATATAAACATGGGCCGAAAAATGCGTGGCTTCCGAGATACAGGGTGTTTAAATTTACTTTCTAAAATAGTTTTTTTTAAATATTTCGAACAATATTTGATGTATAACAGTGAAAATTGGTATACAAGGGTTTTTTGGTACGACAAAACGAACCATGGGCATAGTTTTACTGTAGCCGCTAGAGGGCGCTCTCTACTGTACCTGTAGTGTATTAAAATGACCGAAAAATTTTTCTTAGTGCAATTTTTTGCTTTTTGAATAAAAAAACTGATTCTTCGCACTTTTCAACATAAAAAAGATCTCTTGTGAATGTTCGTTATAGTTAGCCGTTTTTGAGATATTTCGATTTTTAAGGTTCGATGCATTTTTAATTATTTATGATAAAATAACATTAAAAAGTCAGTATCTCGATAATTTTTAGAAGTAGGCTGTGCCTGCAAATATTTTTGAAATTGAAAGCAGAATAAGGTTAAACGTCAATTAGTTGACAGTTAGTTTTGTTGTCTGTTGAAACCTGAAACGTTTTTTTGCAATTGTGAATGCACGAAATTTAGTTTCTTTTACCTGTTTTTTTTTTTGTAAGTTTTATAAAAATGACATTTTTATTCTCCAATCAAGAGTTAGCGGATATTCATTTTGTGTATGGCTTTGTAAATGGAAACGCAGCAGAAGCAGCCATAGAATACGCACGAAGATTTCCAAACAGACGACATCCAACTCGCTCAGTATTTGTAAGAGTGCATCGTCAAATAATTGAAAATGGTTTTGGAAATCTCCAAAGGGATCAAAACATTTCGGAAGCCACGCATTTTTCGACCCATGTTTATATAGACTTTATGCATTGAATTTAAAAGTTCTATCGAATCTTAAAGTTATGCAACAATAAACTGAAACACCCTGTATATATATACAGTTTTAATATTTTCTTTGCGTCAGTATTTAATTCAAAAACTGAAGCTGACGTAATGGATATATTAGAAACAATCTCTAAATATTTGCATGGACTAAATAGTAACGAAAACAAAAATTTAATAAGTACCAGATTAAAAGCAGAATTTGTCCTTTGGAAGCCACGTATACAAGATATTGTAAACAGTGGAATGTCACTGTATTTATCATGTGATGAAAACATTTTTCCTTCAATTAATAGGTGCCTCCAATTATTGATTTCATTGCCGGTGTTGCGACATCTGAAAGAAGTTTCTCTCATCTAAAAAGGATAAAAACTTGGCTGCGCTCCACTATGTTACAAGAGCGATTAGTAGGTTTAGCTTTTTTGTATATGCATAGGGATATCAAAATGGACGTAAATACAATCATAGACCGGTTCGACAGCAAAAAGGATAGGCGCCTTGATTTTGTAATATGATAACACCTGAACTTTGCCTAAGGTTGTGTCTCAAATCCGTCTCCCTTCTGTTGGCCGATAAATAAAAAAGCAGATGTAGTTAAGGGTTGACTTACGCTTAAACCACCACGGTGATCTTTTCCAAAGTATCCAATCAAGATATATGGTTTTATTTATTGGCCAGCAGATTGATATAAAAGTCTGTTCAAATTCTATTCAAATCTCTTTCTAAGCTAATGTCATGGATGTTTTATTTTGAGACTGGGAACTGATGTAGTTTCATGGTTTATCTGTTTTTGTTTTTTTAAACTGGCTAAGAGAATGTAGTTACGCAATGAATATTTTTTGTGTTTTTCTCATGGTTAAGAATTTTATTTTGATTTACATTGAGTTTTATACTTTATAGAAGTCGTAACATATTTGTTATTGTTATTTCTTCCATGAAGATGTATTTTTTGTTGTTTTGTCTGACATTGTTATGTAGAATGTCTGTGATAGATTAGATTATTTTGCATTTTTGTTTTAATATGTGAAGATTGCTCGAGCTTGGTTTGGTTTATTTACACTTTGACTTCGTATGATTCAAAATTGGATTTATTTTCCACAGAAATTACTGTAACAAATTCATATGTCTGCATATGTCCATGCTTTTAATTTTAAATCGTTATAACACTTCAATACGTCACACTGAAATCCTGGGAGCGCCACTGTCTTCATTGGGCTTGTTCTGCTTGTTTCAAATTATGTAAGTAGTACGGCTGGAACCCATGCAACACCACCATTATCTACAAACACTCGAATGGTTGAAAAATAATACTAAAAATACGAATTTAATGATAGAACTAACAAAAAATTTACTTATGTAAAGTGCACTTTGATCCTCACTACAGACTATGAGAATGAGGAGACAAGCAGATCTTTGACTAGTCCGAATTCGTTGGTACTATATCAACGGGCAGGGAACACAAATCGCTAATTCCAACCTTATAGTAAAATAATCTTTCTCAAATATAATCTGCCTGGTTCATCTGATTGATTTTTTTTCAGATAAATGCATGGGCAGCAATGAATATTACTGCAGAAGAAGTGGGCAGTGTATCGAGTTGTCTAAGCAGTGTGATGGGGTTTCAGACTGTAATGATGGTGAAGATGAATGGGATTGTGGTAAGTCTTATGAGTAGATCGTCACTATTTCAAGTTTAATTTGAACAAAATGTTGCTTGTCCGGTTAATTTTTCGTGACAGTGTATTATTTTTTAACCAGGTGCGGTGGTTTTGCGGGCGACTGCTTATGGTATATCCAACTGTATCACTAGTTTGGGTATAAATAGTGAGAGAAGAAACTTAAGTATTCAGATATTTTATAGTAACATCTTTCTGTTGACTCTGACTTTGACAAGGTCATTCCTGGGATTATTATAGTCAGGTACTTAAATTGAAGATGGAAGCATTAACCCATCACACACCAATATGTCTTTCAGTACTCAAAGGCAAACGGTGTTAACAGTGGCGTACGAAAGGCTCAAACGCTCTAAACGAATACGTTCAGCTGCACTGCGAGTTGACTATCTGTTTGAAAACTGCGACTGATAAAGGTTTACCGGGTGTTTCAAATTCGACCCTCTCTATTGAAGTTTAATAATAATAATTATTTTATTTTATACGTAAATGATTTACCTGCCCTAGTCAAACAATGCAAAATTCAGACTTTCGCCGATGACACAATGATTTATATAAGTACTAAAAATATTCAGACTGGTATCTCTTATATAAATGAAGACTTGGAGCTTGTCTCAAAATGGTTAGCATCTAAAAGACTAAAATTAAATACAGGTAAAACGAAAGCTATGTTAATCGTAAAAAAACAATGTACAAATGTTCAACTGAATATTGATGGTAAAGATATTGAATTCATAGAAAATTTCAAATACCTGGGGATTTTTGTTGACTCTCGATTAATTTCTGATATTCATTATGAAAAAGTTATCAATAAGATTAGTAGTAAAGTGGGATATTTATCAAGAGTTTCTGGATGTCTGAGTTCATATAGCAGAAAAACTATCTATAATACCAACATTCTTTCAAATTTCCTGTACTGTTCGACTATTCTATATTTAGCAAATAATTCCATTTTTGAAAGACTGCAAATTTTATAAAATAAGTGCATGTGAATAATACTGAATTAAGATAAATATACTCCAATTAGACAAATGCTTAGCAAATTAAAATGGCTCAATGTAAAAAATTTTATCAAATATCATGTAATGATATTCATTTATAGAGTAAAAAATAATATAGTACCATCAAGTCTAACTAATTTAAAATCATCAAATGTCGACCATCATTTTCATATTACCAGAAATAAAGATGACTTCCATTTAATGACCCAAAAGTATAACATATGCTACAAATATGTATTCCATCAAGAGTTGATTGAATATAATAAATTATACACAGAAATAAAAGACCAGAAAACTTTGACAAAATTTAAAGTAAAATTGAGAAATCACTTGCTAAATCTACAATTATAGGTTGCCCAGCATTTACATCATACATCATATGGCTTAAATTTACTAATTCTAAGTTGTTTAGAATTATTCTGTTTATGTAGCCAAATGTGCTAAATAAACCTTTCTACTACTACTACTACTATTGGGATCTCGGAAGCGGTCAGAGAGACGCAGTCTCTTAAATGGAGGCATATTTAGGTAACTAACGAAGTACCGCTTAGAAAGCTTCTGAATCGAAGTACTTCCTGAGAGAGAAAGTTGTTTTTTTTATATCTATCTAACTTTATTCGTAGTAGGATTTTAAAATAAATTGTATATTAGTATTATCAATTTTCCTGCTCTACAAGATGGCATAATTATAATTTTAATACGTATGTATATGTATGTAAGATATATCATACATTGGTATGCTCAAACCTTAGTTTTTTCAGAAGAACATGAGTCCCTGGGTAGGCCTTGAAATTATCAGATTTCATTTTGGGTTTAGGTTTTACCATACCTTGTATTTTCATCCAACAACAAACACGGCCAACTGAGGAAATATATCACCGAAAAGTCCATTTATATGTACAAAATTCCAATAAAACGTCCATATCGTCGGTCTCCGCACGTACAGGCGTAAATGATAAATAATCTAAAATCGAGTTACGCCGTAATTTCACATATTTTTTTGTATTCTCTCACTTCACGAAATGACGTAGCTGTATATCAGTTCGCTGCTAAGGAATAAATTTTTCAGAAAATTGCGTAAGTTATAAAATTCCGAAAACAATTTTTACGGACCGGCTTAAATAGATTTATGCCTCTGCGTTAAAATTGGTTCATTTTATTCTAACAAAAAAAAAACAGCAACGTGCAGACTAAAAAATCAGTATGTCATTTTCAATCTCATTTATTGCTGATTTTCGTTTTCGAGCTCTCCTGTAAAATTTGTAAAATGTTAGTTAGGCCGGTAAACTGAAAATCTAATTCCGCCTTTTTGTAGAGGAGAATAAGTAACAATCACAACATGTAATTTATTTAGAAATCCGATGTCAAATAAAGTCAGGAAAAAATTATCTTGCGATAAATCTGGTGTGCAAAACAAATGACTATCTATAATTTCAAGGCCAACCAAGGACATGCACCTTTTTTGAAATGGCTAAGGTTTTTCAATGGCAATATATGACGTATCATACATTTTTGGAATCAGAATTAAAAAATCTATTCATCTGTATGACCTCCGTGATAAAAAATGTAGTGGATACTGGAGGACAAGGGACGAGACGTCATATTGAAATTCTAATTATGTCATCTTGTAGAGGCAATATGTAGGCAATGATAATGTACAGTTTATTCTGAAATCTCACTACAATTAATGTGAAGAACAAATTGAAACGATTATTGAAAAATTCGTTTTTTTTTCGTCTCTCCACGGAGGTACTTCGAATTTCGAAACTTTTTAAGCGCAACTTTGCCTCCATTTGAGCGACTTTGTATCTCTTACAGGTTATATCCCCCTTTAGATTTTCAAAACAAATTTGCATTTAACGATAATTTCACCTAAGGAGAAAATACGAGTAAACAATGTTTTTCCTTTACGAAATAATTATGAAATCGTGGCCGCTTACACGTTCAAATTACTACTATTTCCACAATAGACTCTCTATCCTCTTATTTATTTTCTCATAGAACCAGCTCGATTAGAAGTAATTTACCTTCTATATAAATCACCTCTCAACACCAGAAGAGTCGAACTGACTCCTTACGATTCCGGCTACACGCCCGTAAATCCCATGTTAGAATCACGTTGGCGGGCACGCGGGTGGCACGGCAGCAATCCGAATCCGGAAGCTCGGACAATATCCGTTTCCGGTCGCCCTATGAACTGCAGCCCATTCATCCTCCCAGACGGTGATTCACGATCTTCGCCTCCGCCTTCCACCGCCACCCTCTGTCGATGTAATTACAATCAATCGTTGCCCACCGTCTGGGGACGCTTCCGTGCGGAAAGCCGCAATCGGCAGGTGACAGGGGTTTGTGCTAATTTGTCTTCGATTCTACTCCGGCAAAGAATTTACCTATGCTTCCTTGTGGAAAGAGATGTTTGGGAGCAACTTATTGTTCTTTGCTAGCTCTAATCATAGTTAGTTTGTCTACTAGCTAGCCAACGGAGTAGATGGACTACTACGCGCCAGCTTTTTCAGCCTATTGTGTGCTACTTGATGGTTCGTCGGCAACTCGCTGAAGAACCTCTTCTTCAAATTCGACCGTTCTTACGGTTCGAGCAACACCAGTATCATGCATGTTGGTTTTAAACCTGCCTGTCTCGGAGAGCCGCCGATGAATAGCAATAAACTTTTTGTATCCCGGATGCTGTCGTTCGGGATAACGTTCTTGATACAACCGCGCTGCTGCTCGTGCATTGCAGCTTGTTGCTCCGTATGCCAAATGCAATCCCGCCAATTCTTGATTGGTAAGGTTTTCCATTAGCAACAATTAATTTTTGTTAAATTCTTGCAAACTTCACAAATACGGTAGCACGACTAAGGCGATATGGAATGCAGCTACAAAAAATAATCTCTGTTATCGTTTTTAAAGATAACAACACACAAGTGCCGGATATGGGTCTCTATTCTCAAATGTTTTCTACTATTACACTGAATAACCCCTACAAGTTTGACCCCATAGTTCTGAAACACCCTGTATAATATAGTAATAAAAATAACAGTAGTAATAATTATAATCTATTCACAATTACCCCGTATGTTTAACTTGGTACAATATGCGGAATCGGCCATTTCTGACCGACAAATCTGTAGTCATTAACCATCCGACAATTGCCCTGATACGAGTAGACAAAAGTAACCAGATGGCACAGATAACTGAGTTTGGAATCCCGCTTATACACAACACACACAAGGTAGAGCGAGAAAAATCTATTCAGTAAAAGAATCTGGCTATTGAAATGATGAGGATTTTAAAATGCCTCCTACCAATAGAAAAGTCGAGTCATATTATACGAAAAAACCCTTGGCAATAATTGTAAGGTCTGGTTTTATTGCTGCAAGTTCTTCAAGAAGAAGAATTAGGTAAAATGTTGACCTTTCTGTTTCGGTTGACGTTACTTTTTGTAGAAGAAGTAACATATAGTGTAGTCATATTCTCAAATTTCCCCGAGGTAATTGTAAAGCCCGGTTTTATTGGGGCAAGTTGTTCAAGGGGTATTCAAAACATGGACGTATAAAATAGGTATGCAAATTTTTGTGGGAAAACTTTTTATGCGACAACAAAGAATGAGAAAACGTGTTTTTTGGGATTTAATCGAAACTGATGGCAGGAACGAAAAAACTCTTCATATAAGATTTTTAGGTATCTATGAGACCTACAAAATGAGGTCACTCATAAAAGGATCCGAGTAATAGCAAAAAGGTTATGGCCGAAAACCAAGACAAACTGCAGGTTTTGGCACTTGTTGGTAATGCGACGATAGTTTTTGCAGATATTTGAAATTCGTAGGATTCGTACTTTTAAATAACCCCAACAAAATTGGAGTATATTGGTCAAGTAGTTTCCCGGCCATCACTACTAATTTATTGGGCATAAGGGCATTTTATAGCAAAATGCACTAGTTTACTTTGACGATATGAATAGCAAACCATTCCAGAAGGTAAATGTTATTTCTATGCAAAAAAGGATCGGTTACATTTTTTTCTGGACCAATTCAAACATTGTGAGTAATTCACAACAAAAGATGATCCGCTTTGTGTTAAAATGAGTATAGTAGCGCATTTGTTCAATTACTCACAAATACGAAATTTTAACTTGTTTAGAAGAAAAAACATCAAAAATAACATTTATCTTTCGGAATAGTTTATGATTCATATCGGCAAGGTAAACACGAGTATTTTGCTACCAAATGATCTTTGAGTAAACCCTGTATATTGCTCAATAAACTAGTAGTGATGGCCGGAAGACAGGTGTTTTGGGATAAGCAATTGGAAATTCTCAAAAACTACTTGACCAATCTACTCCAATTTTGTTGTGGTTATTTAGAAGTACGAATCCTACGAATTTGAAGAATTTCAAATATCTGCGAGAAACCATCGTTGCATTACCAACAAGTGCCAAAACCTGCAGTTTGCCTCGGGTTTCGGCCATAACATTTTTGCTAATAGTCGGACCTTTTTACGTGTGATCTCATTTCAAAGGTTTTTACGTTCCTGTCAACATTTTGAAATTTTGGAAAGAAGGGTTTGTTTTCGGGATTTTTAAAAAACCTAAACATTTTTTAATATTCTTTGGAAGGAATGCTATCAACACCGTAAATATACCCTCACAGGGAACACTTTCGATTTGAAACTAGAACAGTTCAACACCTGAGAATTCTCCCTGTGTTCCTTTGTGTCTTACTTGTCATCAATAAACTCGTGGCAATTTTATTGAACAATTAAAAAATTAAAAACCTATTCCCTAGTCGCAACCCAACATATATTTTCCTGTTTCTCTAATTATGCTAGCAGCAATCGACGAGCTCTAAATCAGTATCACTGTTTCATCCTCTTTCATGAGATATTTCAGGTTTTTATCCCAGTGGTAGTGTCACATTTTTCACAAATAGGAGGACCTGGATACTTTTTTGCTCTTCAATCTACAATCTGCGGCATTGTCTTTTGATGCCCCAAGCGGTACCGCTGTCTACGCCCATAAGAGAAACGGTACCTTCTATGGCATTGTACTTTGTAATTCAAATTAAAAATAACTTAAAGCCCAAATTTTTTGTTTACTTTCTAATACTTACTTCCTTATTTAATCCTAGTTACTTTGACAAGAGGCAGATTTGTCATCCTAGATGCAAATGTGCGTCCAGAGCTTTCGACCAGCGGCATCCTCACCATCAATCATCTGGGTACCTGGAAGGCTCTTTGCACCAACAGATCCACGGTTCTGCCGTCTCTTGCAAGCACCACTTGCACGTCAGTAGGATTTGAAGACTATGTATCCTTCCACGTGTTGCATGTTCCAGATATACCGTTAGAAGTTTCCGTTTTGAATGTGGTGCGGACCAGTAGTGATACTTTGCAATCAGAAGGTTTGTATTATGTAAAGCTGCTCATAAAATCTCAGTCTTTTCATGATGCTCAATATAATAATAATAATAATAATAATCGTCTTTATTTAAACTGTACAATTTCATACAGAAAAACAAGAGTTGCATATGGTGGCGAAGTTTAGCAACATGCTACTCTTACACTTAACCACCCATGCAAAAAAAAACAAGTTGTTAAGTAGCAGATATCAAACAAAATATACATATATACATACATATGTACATACATACATATACACACATTACATACGTACATGTCGCACCAAGGTTTGCTACATGTACACAAGGATATTTATAGCAATCTAATTAAGACTATGGATCCAAGCAAATATGAGATTTGACAGCTTTCTTGAAGCAATTTAAGGACATGGTTTTGAATCAAGGACTCAAGGCATTGTATAACACTGAAGCCCTGTACGTGAAAGAACGCTGGAATAAAGTTGAGGAGTGAATAGGTGTAGTTATCAAATCTGGAAATCTAATATGTCTATGAGGAATATTACGCCTAAAGATCAGCTTTTCTCTTAAGTATATAGGTTTTGAGTAGTATTAGTTTATGAATAAAAACAAGGTAATGATATTTGACAATATTTTTTTGTTATCATCCAGTTTAATTCAATAAGACTACCAGAAACATGGTCAAAGCGCCTCAAACCGCAGATGAACCTAGCACAATTATTTTGCACAATTTGAATCCGATTTCTAGTAACAACACTGAGACACGGATAATATAAAATATCACAGTAGTTGAAAATCGGCATAACCAAAGACGAACACAGTTTTTTCCTTAGCTTATAATTGAAAATTGCTTTATTGGCATATAGTGATCTCAGTCTCAAGTAGGTTTTCTTCAAAAGATTTTTAACATGATTGGTGAATCTAAGTTTGAAATCGATTACCACGCCAAGAGTTTTAACCTCGTCAACCGGGTACAGTCTTTGAGATCCAATTTTAATAGTTAATCGACTTTTAATTTCTTCTCTCCTGCGATCCGAACAAAAAAACATAACATGGATTTACCAGGATTTATTGACAGGTTGTGGTTATTCGAGAAGTCATACACTTTTTGAATATCATGGTTTACTGATGTCTGTGCCATTCCCATATCATCAGTATCAAAATAATGGACCAGTTGAGTATCATCCGCAAAAGACTGGAGTTCCCAAAAACTCACAGCCTTAGGCAGATCAGCAATATATATCAAAAACAACAAGGGACCCAAAACAGGCCCCTGGGGTACTCCAGACGAGATTTCTAGAAAACTAGATTTATTGTTTTCAATTGATACACACTGCGATCGATTTGATATATAATTTCGAAAAAAGTTCAACTTTGCTATTAACAACTCATGATTTATTTTGTCAAATGCCTTGGAATAATCGATTGACGTCACTGCTACGCCCATTTTTTTATCAAGTGCTATAATAATATTATCCACTAAGTTTGAGAGGGAAGTAGTAGTACTGAAAGATTTCCTAAAAGCAGACTGATCAGATGGGATGATATGTTCCTCTGCATAATGCATTAGTTGTATCTGGGCTGCCTTTTCAACTACCTTCGATAAACAAGGCAATAGGCTTATAGGCCTTAGATCAAACTCGTCTGGATTCGATTTTTTTGGAACTGGTACCACAATTGCTCGCTTCCACGTTTCAGGGAAATAACCTCTTCCAAGGCAACTATTAACAAGGTGGGTGATGTAGATGAGAGTAACAGGCAGACTGAGCTTAATCATAGACAAGCTCAACCCATCAGTACCTTTTGCATCGGACTTAAAACTAGAAATTATTACAGCTACTTCATGACGCCCTAGAAGCCTGAAAGAAAAATTTATTAATATGGGGAACATTTTCGTTATAATACCTTAACACGTGATCAGGAGCATTTGTGGAATCAAAAACTGATATGAAATATTTATTTGCAAGGAACGAGTCTGCAAGATGGTTTGGAATACGTGGCTTATCAGATCTTTGTGCTTTCATATTTTTCAATTCATACCACCATGATCACGCCCTTTTTCCAAGTGACCAAGATACGCCATTTTTTCATGTCTAATGCACGATAGTGCAAGGTTTCTAAGTTCCCTAAAAACCTGCAATCTTGCTGGACTTCTATCTATCTTGTATAAATAATATGCTCTCGTTTTTTGCTTCAGAAGCTGTCTCAACGGATATGACAACCACGGCGCTTTCGGCTTACTCACGCATACCGTCCTTATAGGAGAGTGACGATTGAAGATGTCAATTAACTTGCTACTGAAAAATTGAACTTTATCATCAATATTCCTCATATAACACATTTCAATAAAATTTACTCTAGCCAGGTCATCAATGAAAGATTGCTCATCAAAGTGTGAGAAATCTCTGAAGGTGATCATTTTTTGTTCATGTTTCACACGGGATATGTTTAGGATACAGCAAACAATTTTATGATCGGACAACAAATTAGCATCTAAAGTAAACCAGTTAGTGACAGTAATTGGGGTATTAATAAAAATAGGGTCCAGAAGAGTTGCTGTACTATTAGTTACCCTAGTGGGAGCATCAATAATTTGCTTGAAACCATACATATCCAAGCATTGTTGTAAGGTATTATCGGCAAATAAATTTACATTTAAATCACCAAGGATAATAATATTTTTAAAATTACTCAGTACATTAGGCATTATATTGTCTAAGGCATTTGTACAATCAACTAGCCTTTGTGAAGGGGGACGATACAATATACCTACAGCAAAATCATGCTGATCAATCCTTAATTTTACCCATAGCTGCTCTAACAATCATAGTATTGATAATTAACGTTTTTTTTGTCTGTAATAGTGATTCTAAAAAATTATGACTTGGTTAAATGTTAATAAACCTAAATTAAACACTAATAAAACAAAATGTACGAATACGTCATTAGGGAAACTTTGAGAGGCAATATAACTTGGCTCATGATTAGTTATGAAAAAATTGAAGTAGTAGAGCCATTCAAATATTTGGGTATATACTATAAATATGTGGTTAGTAAACTAATGTTTCAAGATCATTATGAAAACACTATTTTAAAAATGTCAAACAAAATAAGTTATTCCTATAAAGTTTCTCATAATCTCAGTATGTATTCAAAAAAAAATTGTCTATAACACTACCTGCGCCATCTATTACTTTTTTTACCTATAAGTTTATTTGTTTGTTTGTTTCAGATTTATTTAGCATTAATGCTACAATGTCCATAATATCCATATTGCACAGTATATCACAAAATATATTATGACTTCAAGACTGCATATTTTTATCCAAAATTTCACTACTATAAATTCTGGCTTTCCACGAGATATTTTTTCAATTTCCTTTTGAACATGATATCATTACTTAATTTATTAAATTCGTACAATCACTTTTGAAATACTGACTTGCTTGTTATATTGGTACTGCAGTTTTGTAAATGAAAGTCTATACTTCCTCTAGTAGAATAAGTGTGGCACTCATTGTGATTTGGTAGAAGATGATTTTTTAACTTGAATATGAAAACGAAAACCAAGTAGGCTATGAGATTTTTGATATTTAACCATTGTAGTTCTTTCAGCATAAAATTTATTCTAGTATATTTATTTTTATTTAAGATGATTCTCATAGCTTTATTTTGTAATATTTGTAATTTTGAAAATTCAGTTTCATTCGCAGTGAATCAAATAGTCGAACAATACAACAAACGAGGAAGAATGATAGTGTTGTACACAATTTTTTTAGAATAAACGCTTAGGCTATGTAAAATTCTATAAAACTAATTTATTTTCTTGGATATTTTGGAAATAATATATTCATAGTATATATATATACATTGTATAATATAGCCTTATTTGCAAATAAAACTATGGGAAATTAGATAATTTGGGTGTTCAACAAATTTCGAATCATCATCTATTATAATGTTAGAATGTTCCACAGAAACTATTTTATTTTCTTTTCAAATGTATGTCTATGTATTTTTTGAAGCGTTCCTTTTTGTTTTAACAAACGGAAGTAATACTAAAGACTTTCTTGAATGCGATTATTTTCTTAGAACAATTTTCTACTCCTACAAGACTAGACTTCTATATCGAAATTGTCTGTTCTTCTGGACTATTGATTTGTATACGAGCGAGATATTTTCTTAAAGGACTATTTTTATTTTGGAATACCAATTTCCAAGCCGCTATTTGATACATAACTTCTTTCAAGATACTACCATTCCTGGAAATTGTTCTGCACTCTACGTCAAATGCTCGGATGTATTCTTAGCAGAGTCAGATAGTTCTGTGAAGTACGAGTTACCGTGGAATGCGATAATCTATATCGATGGAAAATATAGATGCATGGGAACTATTGTTGGACCCAGTTCAATAATCACACATCTAGATTGCCTCCAAGGGATCACAGAGTAAGTACTTACTTTTTTGTTGGCTCTTGAAATAGAATAGAATATATTAATGCTTTATCTGTATGAGCATGTGAATAGGATATAAAACGTCAAATAAATCGACGATGTAAATAACTAATACATAACATGAAAAATTTGGGATACAGAAACACATACAGGGTGTAAACGTTATGATAGTCATTATTTAAATGGGTGATAGAGGGTGTTAAAAGAAGCAAAAAGTTTCATATAACATGGGGGTCAAAACGGCATTTTTTAAAGAAAAGCGACTTTAAAGTAAAATAAAATCTAGCAACGCCGCAATGCCAGACGCAAATTACGATGGAACGCAGCGTAAATCAAGATGGAGCTTGTTATTTTTGGCTATTAGGTACTATTTCATTATTTGATAATGTACTCGCAAAATGCAAACAATTAAAAAAAGACTGACTTACTACTAACTGTCTCACTTATAAATAGGGAACACAATTTTCATACATACATTGTTTTTCTCTTTAAAACCCATACTGCACTTTTTTGTATTTAAAGAAGGTGTTCAAAATGTCGTCCTCCACTTTCCACACAAGCTTCATTACGAAGTTGTCCATTTATTATTTCAGCCACATTTTTCGCGAAGTTGTGCTTAAGTTATTATTGGACCAGCCCCATAAACCATCCCTTTAAGTATTCCCCATTACCAGAAATTCATTGGATTGAGGTCAGGAGATCTTGCTGGCCATTTTCGAGGATAAGGAGCATTTCGACCGATCCAGCGATTTGGATAATGTTCATTCAAATACTGAATGACGCTTCTAAGAATGTGTGATGGTGCCCCGACATGAAGAAACCACATATTCTGCCTCCGTTGTGATGGCATGTTGTCTAAGGTCTGTTCCAAAAGTTCTGGTAGGTTATTGGCTAGAAACCTAAGGTATCTTTCTCCTGACAACTTTGGGAGAAACTCGAAAGGGCCAATTACCTGATCGTCAAGAATACACGCACAAATATTTATTTTAAAACATTGTTGGAAATGACCTTCACGAATGGTATGAGGATTTTCTTGGGCCCACGTGTGAGTATTATATTTATCCATCCATTTTGAAAAAATCCGGATTTAAACTGTTTTTGTGCAAAAACCACTGACAGAATGTTAGTCTGCGAGGATAGTCTTCTGGTAACAAAGCCTGCACTCGTTGTACATGGTAGGGACAAAGCAAATTTTCCCGTAGGATTCTATGGACTATGGTATGCAATAGTCCCACGCGGCGGCCTAATTCCAGAGTGCTGATATCTGCATTGTTATCCGCGATATTTAATATGTTGTTCCTCCTGCTGTACAGTAACCTGTCTTTCACGAGTGCGAATATTAGTGGGCTGAACAGTTCCTGTAAACTAACAACATGTCGGCAAACTCTTGATTCGAGAAGATTGTAAATAAACACGACGTCGTACGTGAACAAAAACAAAACAACACGCCCGATGCTCTGCTCGAAAAAACGATAAAGTAATTTATTTATACAAAACGATAACCAACCACTGTTATCGTTTGCGATCGATTGCCGGTTCGATAAGAGTGATGAAAGACCGACGCGCTGTTGCCATGTCTGTTTTAAATATTTAATCTAATGAAAATGTTTTACTTACTGACTACAAATTTTGGCTTAACTTAGAAAAACTTAATGCTATTTATTTGCTAATTACCCAATTTAAAAACGTTTTAGATTATAAAAATCAGTAATATTGTGGTGATTAAGGTCGATATAAAGCACTCAAAGTTGTAAACTATAAAGCCATTTAGACAAAAATCTATTGACTTTTGGACCATGGGTCATATGAATTTTTTAACACATGAGGAAAAGGATTGCGCGCTCAAAAATTCATTTGTACTATTAAATGACGTATTTAGCAGATGGCGCCTCAGTCTAGTTTTAAACAAAGATAAGCTGGTAATGCGCTTAACATCTAAAGTGTTGTTTAAAATTTGTGGACAATGCAGATGTTCTAAAACTACAATTTTTGAGATTACGTCTCAATTGGTGAGTTATGTTCGCTTGAAGAAGATTGAAGAGTCCGAAATGATCTCTGAAGGTAGTTTGGCGCTAGATAAAAACATTGGAATTTTGAATATGAATATAATAATAATACGATATTGTAGACGTGTATCGTACTGCGCTGGCGGAAGTAATCTATGTTTTCTGTAACAAATGCATGACTCGTAGATCGATGTTGAGCGATAACATTGTTTTCTTCAAATACTGGTATACAGCTGCCCAGTAGATAGAGACCAACGTATAATCTAATCAACCTCTTTTATTAAAGGAATATTCTCAGTATGACACAAAACAAAAGAGAAATAACATTCACATGCTCTATAAGTGCTTAGATATATGTTAAGTAATCACTATTGTTGCAATAAAAAAAAACATAAGTCGCCTGTTTTTAAATTGAGCTGAAGTCGATTATTTGTTTTGGTCATTTTTTTTTTATTACTTATCTTGACCCGTAGTTAGTGACTCATTTGAATATTATTATTAATATACGTAATAAAGGAGTTGATTACGCTATATAAACTTCAAACATAGATAATAAATTAAACATAGAAGGAAATAAAGAACATATCATAAACAAACTGGTCTTCGTCGTACACCCAACTGTCAAAACGACCCTTCCGATAACTGTGGACGCATTCACAAGGTCGTAGGGCAGCCTGCTTCAGGTATCAAATACTCGGTTAGTGAGGGAAACATAGCGAGTTGTAGTTCGAAAGATAATAATAATCATAATTATAATAATTTGTTAATGTTAATACACAGAAAGTGTTTACGCAAGTCAATATACAGGGTGTTCCTTCATGATATGCGAATATTTAAGGATGTGAATCTACATGAAAAATTAATGTTAGTTTGCTTTGATCCAGGAATGTTGCGCTACAAAAACGCGGGGTGTTGAAATTTTAGGAAAAAAATGGAAATAATTAATTAATATTTTCAGAACCGCTCCAGATATTTAGTGCGTAGTGAAAGTAAATAAAGTTGCATATTTTTCAATGCAAAAATAATTTTTAGCTTTAACAGTGGCGTGCGTACAGGTATTGACTACGACATTTTTTTGAAAAATAAAATGATACGCCAATGGTTTTCTGCCAAATAAAATTAGTTTTGAAAAAAAAATGATACGCCAATGGTTTTTTGCCAAATAAAAATTAGTTGTGAATTCCTCGTTCAATTTAACATGAATGATTGCTCGTAAGTTGTTTCATTCGAAGCGCCATTTTTTATTAAAAAAATAAAAACCGTTCTATTGTCTAACTTGCAAAATTATTACTAATTTAATTAGAAAAATTAAACACATTAGGGATAATGAACAGCAACAACTGACAACATAAACATAACATTAAAACCAGCGAAATGATTACAAAAATTGTTGAAAATGGCCCCCTTCACTTAGTATGCATGCTTCCGCATTCCTTCTCATGGAATTGCGCACTCGTTGAAATATCCCTGGACTGTTTTCTATTCTATCACAAACTGCAACTATCCTTTCTCTTATTCCTCTACAGTGTTAATGGGACTTATGTACACTAGTGTCTTAAGATTACCCCACAGAAAGGAATCTAAACTGTTGAGGTCTGGGGACCTTGGTGGCTACTCTTGGGGCACGATTTGGATAAACAGTTTGTAAATAATTACGAACCACTACACTGAAATGCGCTGGTGCACCATCATGCATGTACCACATATTGTTTCTTATTACTAACGGAACATCATCAAGCAGCAAAGGCGACTGTTGTTGAAGAAAATTGAGGTAAGTCTGTCCGTCAAGTCGTCCCGGCAAGAAGAATGGGCCAATAAAGTGGTTGCCAATAATTCCTGCCCATACGTTAACCGAAAACTGGTGTTGAAAATGGGTTTTCGTTACGGAATAGGGATTTTCTTCTGCCCTCAAATGATTATTGTGGAAATTCTGAATGACGTTTCGAGAAAAATTAGCTTCATCCGTGAACAGAATCATTGATTCAAATTGCGGATTTTGTCTAATTTTTTATGGTACTACTGAGAAAAGGTCACACACAAAATCAATGGGAAGTAATGTCTGTACACCTAGAATATGGTAAGGTACTAAAATTCTCCAAACAATTTGATGGCAAATATCGAAGTGTCTAGCGATCTTCCTCGTACTCGTTTCAGGATGTTCTTCGACTTCGTGCAGCTCTCAATTTTAGGTGTTCTCAAACTTAGAGGTCTACCTTCAGATGTTCCTTTGTGGGCAGAACCAGTTTCAACAAGACGACGATGAATATTAGAAAAGGTTCGATCATCTGGCAAAGCACGATCGGGATATCTCTGGTGATAAATCTGTCTGGCTTGCTCACCATTACCCTCGGCAAGGCCATATACGTAATGCATTTCCGCCATTTCTGCATTTGAATAATTCACTATTATTAACTAGATTGTAAAAAATAGATGATGAAAAAGATGTCATAGCGAACAGATTTGAAGAACAGAGACTAGTCAGATGTCAAAAGCCAGTGACATATTCCAGAGCAACTAGATATTATTGCTAAATTGCATTCTTCAATTATTACATTAATCTTCTCGGGAATAGAGAGTATTTTTTACTCAAAAATGGCGCATCAAAGGAAAACAATTCAAGCTGGATCGTTTGTTTTAAATTGAACGGGGAATTCAAAAATAATTTTTATTTGGCTAAAAACAATTGGCGTACCATTTTTTTCTTGAAAAATATCGATTTCAATACCCGTACGCATGCCTGTGTTAAAGCTAATAATTATTTTTGCATTGAAAAATATGCAATTTTGTTAACTTTCGCTACGTACTGAATATCAGTGAAATATCTGAAGCGGTTCTGAAAATAATAATTAATTTCAATTTTTTTCCTAAAACTTCAACGTAAGGAAACATTTTTGGACCATAGTTTATAAATTAAACTAACAATAATTTTTCATGTAGATTGACACCGTTTAATATTCGCATCATTAAGAAACACCCTGTATATTGGAA